TCTGTACAAAGTTATCTTGTGCAATATGTCACTAATAGCTCTAAGCTGAGGACAAAGGAGGAGATAGGAGGGGGTCAGTGCCAGCCTGCACGTTTCTGTTTACCCTGTCTCCCTTCTCTCTTCCCCAGCAAATTTCACTTACAGGTTAAAAAATAACATTGACTTGGCTGATTTGGGGCTCTTAAACAATGAAGTCACACTTGAACTGCTTTAGCTTATCACATAGGACAGGAGCATTGTGCGGATGGGAGTTGTGGCTAATCCAAATTCCTGGCAAGGTGAAGTGAGCTAGCCAGAGCTGTTTATACTGATGTCCCTAGGTTACCCTGGGGGCTGACTGCATTTGTAGTTTGTCCCAGCTTCCTGTAGGACCTTTAGAGAACTGTGACCTCACACCTATTCATATCTTCTCACAAACTTTCCGTCAGCTCCACAGTGCCTGTGAGAGTTTTCAGACAGACTTCTATAGTTACTAAGGTTGGCCACCTCTGCAGTGTGCAACCAATATCCATCTTGCTTTGGACAATGCTTCTGGGTTGCAGCATATTGCAGGACAGATGTGAATGAAGTCCTGGGGTATGAAGAGGTGCCAGCTGAACGAGTGACTGAGGCTGTGTTGTTCAGGAGCATCCCTGACTCAGAGGCAATACGACCATTTCGACTGAAGGCAGCTCACAGCAAAAATAGCTCTGATGTCTCAGCACTGTGCCCTGCAGTGGTGCAGTCTGTAGGAAGGCTTATTAGTTCTGATGAAGTGTAATACAGCCATTCTGGGGCCACTACTGTACTCATGATGAAACAAATGCAACCTACAGCCCTAGGAAGGGTAGTGTAAACCACACCCAAGCACTTTCCAGGATCTGTCTTAAATGTGCTCATCATTCCATGTGTCCTAGGCCTCTGTGAAGCCTGAAAATATTATTAAATGTCTTTGAAACTTCCTAACAGCCCTAACATGAACGCTGATTCAAACTGGGACAAGTTAGATTCTCGTTTATTTGCCAGTAGAATCAAAATTCTGGAGGAGGTGCTTAAATTTTCAAAAAATAAATGCTGTCTTTCCTTAGTTGTGTTGACTCTGAACTCACTTGTTCTATATGACCCAAAATCACCAAGCCTTTCAGCCCTACTGGTTTCAGTGAGATTAAATAAGTAAGTGGATTTTGGAACAGGCTGCAGAAATTTTGACTTATTTTAACCAGTTCTTGTGGCATGAAGAAAGATAGTAAATTGCCTTCTACTTAGATAATACAAAAGAACCCCCACAAAACACCACCCAAGTCCTAGGCTAGATAGCTGATCTCCAGAATATGTTCAGAAAAAAAAAAGATGGGTTAATATTTGATAAACTTTTAACACTGTCTGAAATTGTTATTTCTAACCTGAAGTACCTCTCTCAATGGGAGTTCAAGAAGAAAAATGCCAGGCTTTGTTTTATGTCTGGTTTCTCTTAAAAGACATTAATTAAAACCAAATGTTTTTCTTTTTCTTTAAAGGAAAGAAGGAATTCATGGATTTTACAAAGGAATTATCCCCAATGTGATCAGAGTGACTCCTGCCTGCTGTATTACCTTTGTAGTTTATGAAAATGTGTCTGGCTTTTTACTTGGTTTTAGGAAAGAAAATAATTAAAAGTACAAACTTGTGTTCATAAGGAATCTATCCTTTATTTTTTATATTTATGATCTGGGAAAAACTTAGTTCAGCAATCTTTTTTGACACTGAATTGATCTAGTATTTTGAGGAAAGAACATAGAGACAGTAAAACCCTGCCAACATCTCTCCTGTTGAACGTTCCTGTGTTGCTGCTTCCCTCTCTGTATCAGCTGTGTCTGCTTGAAACAGATGTCTGCAACTGTGAAAAAATAGCACTGTGACTGGGTGAAGGCAGCTGTGCAGCAACTCAGTTCATCCTGGCCTGCCTGGAATAACCGACTAAGCTGTTTCAACGAGTCTCGAGATAACAGTTGGTCAGATTCTACTCCTGCATAAGTGGAAAACTTCATGTAAAAGCAACTCTGGTGCCTGTCAAAACTTTTTAAAATCTGAGTCTCATGAAGGAACGAGCAATGTCTTCTGAATCCACCTCTGTGTTATTTGTCAGATTTTAGGATATGGAATGCTCCAGATTCTGTTGCTCATCCAACACAAAAATTCTGCCTCAGCGGGGTGCAGTTTGGAAACCAATATTGTTTTTTAAAACAGCTGTCCATTCTTGGGTTTGAATAATTGCCAATCTGATGCAACCCAGTTCTTGTCTCATACCAGGACAGACTCGCGTTGTGGGTTTTGACTTGGTTTTAGCACCAGACCAAAATGTATGTTGTGTGTATTGCTCACCCCTTACTTAATTCATTTTCTCTCTCTTCCCTTCTCTCTGTATCTCTCTCTGTCTCTCTATGTCAGTCTGTCTCCATTACTGATATATCTGACCAAATATTACTAAGCAAATGTATATTTGAAAGTGGGCATACATTTTAAAAGTGAGGATTTTTTTTAGTAATCCATAGTGATGCAGTGTTCAAACCACTGTAAATAACAAATATGACCATGCTTATTTTCAGTAATATTATCTGGAAAAAAAGTCTGTAACTAGTCTAAAAAAATCTGGTGCACAGGACTTTCTTTTAAAAAAACAGAATAATCTTTTAATGCCTTCTGATTTGGCTTAAGGAAAGGACTGTTAAGAATATATTGATTGCTAATTTAGTCATAAATTAAATTACAGTACACCTCATTAAATTTGTATAATAATGATGGCTGGTTGCTTGCCAGTAATTGCTGTCAAGGATATGTACTTTTTGGAAGTCTAGGTTTGCTGGTTTGGGGGTTTTGTAGTTCTTTAAGAAAATACGTTACTGACCATATTATCTGCCTTCTGCTGTTAGTAAGAAGATATCAAGAAGTATCTAGAAAGTATCACTTAACTATGAAATAAGTTAGCAAAGATTATTCAACAGGTAGGGGGAAATTAATCAGTTATATAAGGAGCGGAATAATCCTGCATAGTCACTTAAAGAAGTTTCCTGTTTACCAGACTAACTTAAAGCAGAAAGAAGGGTTTTTAATAAAAATTTAACAGATTAGGGAATTGGTTTCATTTTTAAGTTAAAATCTGAAAAACTACAGAAACTATTCAGTATTTTGAATCTAAATTCAGCAATCCACTTGCTTATTTCTGTTGATATTATTGCCACATACCACATTTTTTGTGTAACTAACTTGTTAATAATTTCCACTTTCTCTTGCACATTCCCATCCTCTCTACTGATACAGTTGATCATCTGAAATAATAATAATCTCATCTGGGGTCATTATGGCTGGATTTGGGTTTTATTACGGAAGGTTCCATGTGTATTTAGCTAAATATCAATTTACTGGAAGTTTACCATGCAAATTTATGTTATGCAGATCCATAAGAGCTACTAACTTCTGCCTTTGGAGGGTGTTTACTTGGGTTTTTGTGTTTTCTGGTACACAGAATGAATTTAATGGAATGCTGAATTAACTCTGCCAGCCAGGGTCCAAAAAATATTGTAAAGACATGAAGAAAAATCATGAAGAAAAATCATAAAGAAAAGAATAAAACCTATGCATGTACTACCCTGGATCAGTGTGCTCTAGGGCCAAAACAGCTTGCTCATGCCTGCAAACACAGGCTGCAAGCATGTGCACAATCAGTTACTGTATGTTAACTGACTTTCTGTAAATTCAGCCCATAGCTCAGCTCATAGTAACTTGTTTGTGTTCAGGTACCTTAAAACCCATCGTCCAATCCAATGAAAACAGTACAGCCCTTCAGAGACAGAATACCAGCTCTGTAACTTGCTGGCTTGCAGCAAATCCCACACATAAACTTGCAGTTGGGAAAGCCCATTGCTCCCCTTGCTGCAGGTGTGCTCCTCTGGCATCCCCAACAAAAGATCCAGGCAAGAGCTACCAATCTGAGAGATGCCTGGAGAATATCTTATAGCTTTTTCAGAAAAGAAGCTTGAATTTAATCCTAAATAGCTGAAATAAATTAATTATTTCAGATTTAATGTTTTTTCCTTTTAATTTTTGGGAAGACTGTAGATTTCTGCATGTTGTACATGCTTTTCTTGGGGTTTTTTATTTCATTAATGTAAAATTGATTTTGTAATACAAACATGACTATTGTTTCTCTTTAGAATGTGTACAATTTTTAAAAATATTTGAGTATATCACTTGCAGAATTTGAAAGAAAATACTTAAAACACTGCAGCTAATGCTCTGCCAGCATGATAGGTGTTGTCACTCACTTGTAAACAGCTGTGACATCATTTCACTTCACCACTACACTTTCTGAAAGCCAAGGCATTTCAACCTGCCTTTTTTCTGTATCTTCCATACTATTTAATATATCTAGCTTTTAATTAATAGCAAAGTGATTTTATGTATTTGAAAGGCTAAATCCAGGAAAATTATTTTATTGGAGCAATGAAATCAAGTTTTATAACTGCAAAATTATTTAATGTCTGCATCCTAATAATGGGGATCAGTCATAGATGTTTATACTGAAATCCAGTCTATCAAGAAGCAAAAGAGGAAAGGAGAGCTTAGATGGTCTATTTTTACTTAGTTGTTCAGAACAAGGTATTTAATGCTTACCACATCATCTAGGTCACAGTTACATCACCAGGAGGTTGTTGAGACAAGACTGTAACAGCAGATCATGTTACTCTGCAGTCAGGTTTACAGGAATAGTTGTTATGTGTGTTTTCTGAAGGCTAAAGCCAAGACTTGAATTTACTTTCTTAGAACTTTAAAGTCTTTTAAAAAAATTGTGTACCATAACACCGTGTAAAATACCTCAAGCAGATTAATGTTCAATAAAATAGCCTGGATTATTTTTTTTGTAAAAGGTCTTATTTATTTGATACAAAAAGTTACGGTTAATTCTTAGAACAGTGGTGGTATTACATCAAACAAGGAATTTAAAAAGTTAATGAACTTGGTTTTGATATTTATATTCTAAAATGATTATTATAAAAAACCTCTGCAATGGACAAAACAAGGCTAGACAAAGGCTACAGATGCAAAGCTTGGGTGCCTTTCAGTCCAGTACTTGCATCCAAGTCTATTGAAGTAAATTCTGAAGAAAATAGTACAAAGTAAAAAACTGGAAAGAGATATTATAAAAAGGGAGGGGAAGTTATTTTGGCAGTTCTTCAATGATGATTCGGGAGACTGAATTCCATCCAGTAGAAGCATCTCCCCGTGGATAATCAGAGCAAGTCCCAACCCAGATGGCAATGTCCACCAAGCCGGCATTGATCCCTTCGCACAGACCTTCCACTGGTTAAAGACAAAATTCAGGTTACCTCAGCAGGCACAATCCCTTTGTATTTCACAACTGAAGGTGGACACAAGTACTTAAGAACACCAGTTCGTTGTAAGCTTGTGCTATTTAGTTAAACCTGAACAGCATTTTTAGAAATAGAAACTATTATGTAGAGATGTGGCAACATCAGTTACAGCCATGCCCTCTGTCCATGCTGCTGCTTGACACCTGTACCTGCAGTACCTGAAGCAGATCACAATCCACAGGATGGCTAAATGGGAGGTACACCTGCTGCTTTAAACGTCCAAATTTACAAAATGGGAGCTGGGATATGGCTTCATACCCTTCCAGCCGTCTTTTTAACTGTGATGGGGAGGGGAGATGGGGGTGCAGCTGTACCTGGCTTCCACAGCTAAGCCCTGTAAAGGTGATTGCCACCCTGCAAGCTTTGCCACTCCTAATTTACTGCTTCTGTATAAAGTTCCATTCCTGTTGCCCTTTTTTTTTGCCCCATTAGCCACCACTAGGTGGTGGGTTCATGAAGACAGGTAGGTCCTATCCCTTGATGAAAAAATCCTATGATAGCTCTAGACATTAGACCATGCAGTCATGCAGTACAGGGAGGAAAGTGGAGAAAGAGCACAGACTTGTTCATTCACTTTTACTAGTGTTACCTCCTTTTATGTTGAATGACTTCACTAATTTGCCTTTTGCTTAGCAATTGAATAATATCCACAGATATTTTACTTCCGTGCCTCGCTTGAAATTAAGAGTGGAAATTCCAGGAGGAATAAGTCTCATTTTATGCACAGATAATGTGCAAATATCAGTATTGTAAGCCAGGATGATACTGTCTACTTGGCAGTAAGGCTGTTTCTTCATAGGCTAATACAGCACAGAATGTCTCTGTATTCATGTTGTGGCAGTGATCAGTAGAACTGTCTGGATAGAAATCTCTTCCATTTCTAAATCTCAGGATAGAAGTACCATGGAAAATACCACAACAAGAAAGTACCACTTAATAAATAATTATAATACTGTTACTATCAATAGTCAACTCTGAGGCAGCAGAGTAAGAATACCAAGTGTTAGCTGGCTGCTCTTCTGCCTCTTCTTTCGGTTCTCTAACTTTCTAAGGCAGGCAGCACTCTGGTACCTGCTACTGCCTTCTCCTCCATCTCTGCCCACACGGTCTTGGCATACATACCTGAAGAAGTTCGGTGTATATTAATAGTAGAATTCAGCTCTGGGCTTCCTTGATCTAAGTATATTATGGCTTCAATAGGAAGTGGCCCAGCACACTCTGCACCATTAAAAGTAAAGTACCAGCGCTGACAACAGGCGTTTTTGCACTTTAGCCGGAGTGACCCACTGAAGAGCACACGGAGAGCGCTGTTTGAGCGCATCTTGGTAAATGTACATTCCTAAGAGGAGACAAAAGTGCTTCAGTCGCAACCTCTGGGTTTGAATCTATTTATTTTCCATATGCTTATATTTAGGAAATATATTTAGGAATATATTTATTTCTAAATGTTTTTGCTATTCTCTTTAGTCCCCTCTGGGGGAAAAAAAAATAACAAAAAAAATTGGAGCCTGGCAAATGCCATACAATGCAAAGATGAAAATCAGAAACAGCACCTCCTAGATAGTAATGAAGAAGCAGATTATGGAAATTCTTAACTTTATTTAGATAACACCTGCTGCTAAGTTGGTAGCCTTGTTGCCTTCTGGGGTTTATGTCAAGGGTATGAGCTGTCTGAAAGTTCCAGTCAAGTCACAGGATCACAGAATCATTAGGGTTGAAAGGGACTTCTGAAGATGACCTAGTTCAACCCCCAAGTCCTTGCATGAAAGGAGAGTACAATTTCTATCACTGCTAACATAAATACTGGCCTTAACAATTATCACAAGATTTCTGAGAGGCTTAAACCCTGATAAAGACTCCACAACTGAAAAAGAAACATTTTCAGGTTTTTAAATGGTTGTTATCCTGTCTTCGAAGTGCTGGATATCATGAGGGAAAAAAAAAAGCTAGAGACAGTTCTGAAAGTACAAGGCAGTGAGAAGAGTCTGCTAAAAAAGTTGATTCTCCCTCTAGCCACAGCAATAGCAGTTAAATTACTCCAACCTTTCTAGGCTTTGCTTCATAGCTGGGATTGTGCTGGGGCTTTTTCTACACTTGAACCACTGTGTTTGAAAGTTTTACACCCAGGGCTGCAGTGGAGGACAGACTGTTTGGGTCAGTCTGGGTAACATTAGCAATTCTGTTCCTGAACAATGCTGATCCTTTGCAATAGCATCCTGTAACTGAGTTTCAGTGAACAACTATTTTGAAGCAGGAGTTATAAAGACAGGTACAATTAACAGATTAAAGATGTACATTTTTCCTTAGGATTGAAATAGTAAAAACCTTGCCCCGTTCTGGGCAAGCTGGAGGCACTTTTTTGATAGTGTGACTTTCAGCCTTAGAGTTAAATATCTGGTCTTCTAAACGTACTCCTACACCAGCCACATCATTCTTTTGAAATCCTATTGCAGAAATGAATCGGGCACATATGGAAGCTGAAGTAGCTAAACCTTTGAGAAGTTCACCCTTACATGCAGGAAATGGTTCCAACAGGAAATCCATATGGTTGGTGCTGCCCAGCTCACAGAAGCAGACCTAGAGGCTGCTGTGGTTGATGCAGTGCAGCATCCCGGGCAAAGTGAACTTACCGCGATCTTCCCAAGGTCGATGCCGTAGTTAAGTGCACTCCACGAACACTGTTTGAAGTTGGGTGTCCAGGACTCCTCGATGCTCTCACGCATGCACTCGCCCTTCTCCCCTTTCAGCCCATCCCGTCCTGGGATTCCAGGTGTCCCAGGGATCCCATTGGCTCCTGGGTTTCCATCCCGTCCAGGAACACCACTGGGGCCTTGCAAGCACATGCCGTTATACTGAAACACAGAACAGACCTTGTTGCTTCCATCCCTTCATTCCCTTGGCAAACCAAATAAAACGCAAATGAACAACAAAACACAAAACCCCTGCCATGCCACAAGTTAATGGGCTACTTCTGCATCACCAAGAAAATGATTCCATAGAAGAGGAAAATAGAAAAATAAGTTTTCAAAGATAAGCACCACCAGCAGAATTTGCTGTATATTAAGATGCCATTTTGTTATGAAAAGATACATAAATCCTAGAATTAAAAATTTACCTAGTCCAAGAATTAAAACCTGTTGGAACACATCAGAAGAGTCAAAACATTTCAATACAGGGAAAAAAAAGTCATATGTTAATTCTTTCTCCTAACCCACCATTGTTTGTATAATTGTCTCTGCTAATAAGTTTTCATTATTATTTTTCCTTTTTTTTGAAATAGAGAAAATTTTTCATTCCATAGAGTGCAGAGGTTAACGCTGGTTTTCTTTCCTCTGTCACTGCTCCTCTGGGACAGAATCACGTCGCAACAGTCAAGCCCCACAGGTCAGGCTCCAGAATGCACACACATCAGTGGTGATGCAGATGTAGGAAGCTGCACCCTGGAATAATCCTGAAGTCAGGATGCCCCCATAACAGTAGGGAGGCACACATGGGAGGATGCACAATGCACACTAACATCCTTCCTACCACAATATTAGGAAAGGTCAAGTGTTGCTTTCCCAAACTGCGCATTAACACATGTTGCCTTCCTACTTTATGAAATTTGGGGTTGCCCTTCTTAGAGAGTAGGTTTGTGCTCCTTCCCGCAGCAGCCTGAGTGCTGGGATGCAGGAGGAGCTCTGGTGTCAGCAAGGATGGAAATGTCGACTAGGAACCTGCAGGGTCTGGTGGTGACTTTTACTTCAAATGCTTTTTTCCATCTGGTGACTGACTGCTTGATCTAGTCTTCATCCCAAATCCTCACAGATAACCGTACTCTGCTCTTCCACTTTCTCACACTTATTCATCTTCTTTAAACCACCTAATCCTCACCTGTTTCAAAAAGAAAAAGTGCTGCAACTATTGCCCCTCCTGCCAGCCATGCCCCTGTCTGCACTGCAGGAGCTGTAAACTACAGCCCCTGCCCTCTCTCCTTTGTCATACTGATGAACTTTCTTATTCTGAGGTTGTGCCTTTTCACAGGCCTTGGTGCAAAATCCAGCATAGCCATCACAGGCTTGGCTGGAGCCACAAAAATAAATCAGTGACTATATGGAGAGATCTAGTAAGAAGTAAGATGAGAGTTGGACTAATGGTTGCTGGCTTTCCCTTACTACCTCCACCAAAGAACACTGGCTGGCTAAAAGCAGTGGAAATAGTGGAATATTTTAATCAAGAAGGCCACTTTTTAGAAAAGTTAGCTGAAGAGAAGACTGGTTGGTACACAGTGACCCAGGGGCCATTAGAATGATGGAACAATATTTCTATTTCATGCAGCACCGGTTATCTGCTTTCGCTGCTGCTTTCCCATTGGACTCTATTTGTAACAGTGACTGGCTCCGGCTTTTGCATGTGGTTACTCACCACAGAAGTCCTGGATGTGGAAATGGGCAAGAGCTGGAGAGAGGCCAAGGCTCAGGCCCATTATCCCATCCCCAGGGACACCACAAGGGGCTGGGCTGCCCTGACAGATGGGCTGACACCGCAGTGGCCCAGAGCTGCACAGCAGCCTTCCACGGAGAGCAGCTCAGCCATTGCACACCCCAAAAAATTGACGTGAGCACAAGAATTACCCAGGCTTTGGGCTCCATTCCAACTAAAGTCATCTGTCTTGCCAAATAGTCTTTTTCATGCTTTCTTAAGCTGGAAATGCATAAAACATATTTTAAAATGTCTGCTGAAGGCAGGATCCCCTCTTGGGCATACCTTCACTCTGTCCTGGCCATGGCTTTAGCTGAAGCAGTCTGTACAACCGGGCTGTGCCTGAGTCAGCTGCCATTGATTTACCTGTGTTTTGCTGCTCATTCTGTTACATCCAAAAGCATGGAGCAATGCCAGAGAAAAGAGAGACCCTCAAATACTGCTCCAACAGAAAATGTAAGCTCCTCCACGTGTACAGACTCCTTATTCTCAATACAATTCAACTTCCACAATGAAAGTGAAAAGGCAATGAAGTGGTGTGAAAGGGAAGGAGCTTTGCTACCAGTGGTGCTTCCAGCACATCACTTTAGGGGATCTCTCTGAAGATCATGAAAATGGCCATGTCACTGATTTTCTATAGGAGGTGAACAGCAGTCCAGCAGTTCACAGAAATACCTTCACATCTGCTTTCTACATACCAAGGACTGGAAAATATCCCTTCTCTCAACTATCCCTGAGATGGGATAGTCCCAATGCATTCAGGTTTCTAGTTGCAGTGGAATTTCAAACAGAGGTATGCAGTCTCCACAGCCAAAGCGAGTAACGCATTCACACAACTCCAAGGAAAAGTGGGTTCAGGAAGCATGCAGATACAGTTTTCAGGGTGTCTGCTCAATAGCAGACCTTTTTTTTCGTCTTGTTTTGTACTTCTCTCATTATTATTTATGCACTAGCCCTCTAGGAACCAAACAGCATTTACTGCTTCTGTTGGAAGGGCTGTATGATTTCGACGTTGCCCCTGCAGTGGCTGAGGGCAGGGTCCAGCCCACGGCGCTGCCTCGGGTCCCGCCGCGATACCCCCCGGCACCGGGCACGGCGGGGAGCGGGGGCTCCGCCGGCTCCAGCCGGAGCCCCCGACCCTGGCCCGATGGGGAAAACACCAAGACACGCACCCGGCCGCCGAAAACCTGCGGTTTCTTCAAAGCCCCTCTAATCCCTTCTCGGCATTTTCCTGATTCAGCACAACCAGGGCGTAATTAACAGAACCCAAGAGAGAAGTCCAGCGACGCGGGACCAGCGCTGCCCTGCCCGGAGCGGCGGCGAGGTTTTTCGAAACCCTCTGATTTTTCGCTTCTTTTTCCACATTTTTGCAACAAACAAAAGCGTCCGCGCGGATCCTCCGGCCGCCGCCCCCCACCCGCACGGCGCCCCAACACCTCCGTCAGCCGAGCTCCCGGCCCCGCTCCCGGCCCCGCTCCCAGCCCCCGGCGCCGGCGCTCTCACCACGTCCACCACCTCCCGCTGGCGAAGCGCCTTCTGCTTCCCCTTGGGGCTGTCGGAGCCGGCGGGCGGTGGGGCCGCCAGCAGTAGCAGCAGCAGCAGCGCCAGCAGCAGCAGCAGCGGGGCGGCGGCGAACGGGGCGCGGGGCATCGTGCGGGGGGCGCGGGGTGGGAGGGGAGGCGGGGATGCGCCGGGGCCGGGGGGAGGCTGCGGCGCAGGAACCCGTGTCCGCCGCTCCGGGCGGCAGCGCGGGGATAAATGAGCCTTTCAGCGCGCGCAGCCCGAGCTCCCTCCCCGGGGAGGCCGGGAATTTCCATCCTGTAACGGAGCGGGACGGCCAGGCAGAGCCATCCCCCCGCAGCCATTGGCACAGGGCCGGGGGCTCCCGCCCCCTCGGGCCGGCCCCGCCGAGCTTTCCCCGGGCGACGCTGGAGCCCCCGGGCGATGCTGAAGACCCCCGCGCCAGGCGGCGGGAGGGATGCGGGGACCCTCCCGGCTCTCCTGGAGCCCCAGGCAGCCCACTTCCAGGTCTTCGGAGGTTTGCTCGGCAGATGGTAACTCCGTTCCGCTGAAGGAGCTGTTTCGGCAAGAAACCGCATAACGCCGCAGCGAGAGCCTGATGTACATGAGGGGAAACGGTGATAAAACAGCAGATGGGCATCAATCACAAATTTCATTGTAACAGAAGTCAAGGTAAGGACACAAAATCCTTCTGAACAGCAGCGGATTTTGGACTTCATTGAAGAACCTAGTATTGTCAGACTGAACATTGCCAACAGGAGGAAAGTTCTTGGCAACCCAGCATAAACCATCTCATTTTGCTTTCATTTAAAATTATGCTTTACTTTTCATCACACCAGAAATGAAAGCACTATAAAATAAAGAATGCTGTATGTCCTCAAGCATTCAAAATAGAAATAACATGTATTTAAGGGGTAGCTTCTGTATACTGCACACCTTGTGGGATTTGTAGAGGTAAAGTTTCCAGAAGGGGGAGATAAGCTTCAAAACATATTTTTTTCTGGAGTATTTAACGAAACCACACATTTGTCCTGCAGGAAAGAATGCCACAAGACGTTGAGTCATTCACAATAGACTACACAGAACCAGATTTTTGTGTACATTAAACCCCTTCATGTGGCTCTGCACTTACTTGTCTTTCTTCCCTTTCCTTGTCTATACAGGTGGAATAATAGTAGTGAAGTAAGATTGGCGCCCCAGGTCAGTCACACTGCTGTCATCAACCCTGCTACATGGTGTCCTGAGAACTGGGACTGACATCAGCCATGTTGCTGAGGTGAGTGCTCCTATCTTGAGAAGAAGGGAAACAATACACCCAGCCGACTTCAAAAAACAGCTGGCAAATAATAATGGTTCCCTAAACCAGCTGGGAAAATGTATGGAATTATGTAAATCCGTAATTGCAACAATCGCTTCAGTGACAGCCTCAGTCGACATCCATGAACACGCACACACAGAGGCTTCCTTGTGCAATCGTGCGTCGCTGCCAGCAAACCCTCCTGCCTCTGGCCCGGGCTGGTGGCAATACTGTGAAGGTGCTAATGTTTGATTTCTGTGGCACCTGCGTGTTCACACAAGCATCGTTACCAAGGGCTGGGGATCCCCAGCATCAACACAGGCTGTTGCTAAGGCATGTACCTTCGCAGGCTGCCAAACCTATGCATTACAGAATGAATTTCTTCAGGCAGTCTGCAGTAGCACACAGCACAGCAGCACCGCACACCTTCACAAGACAGTTGCTCAGTATTTTAGAGAAAAAAATTTGCACATACATCCACATGCATTTCCACACCTGGGTTTGCTCACCCATTAATTTGAGTGTGGGTTAGAAGCTTTGAAATCAAAATGACTTTGCCAGGGGAAGCAAACTGAGGAGTGCTGTAAAAGAATGTATTAGCAAACAATGTGGGACATCTCCTTTGAGCTCCAGTGAGAGCATTGTGCAATTCCTGGTTGACTTACAGTGTGCATTTCCATTTGGAAAACAGAAATGTCAACATCCTCCTTAGCCTGCTTCAGTCTAAGCAAGCCTTGCCATCTGCTAGGCTTGTGCTCTGTGGGCTTTTGATATATTTAAATGCTTCTGAGGACACCAACCATTGATGAATGCTGGTGAGCTACTCAGATTGAATCAGAACTATTGATCTACTTTGCCTTAACTATTTCCCAGATAAAAAGAGCTGTGGTAATAAACTTGCCTGAGCATCCTCAAACCATGATCCATATTACATCAACTAGTGATTCCTTCATCTTACCCATACTGCCATATGATATAGACTTTATCTTTTATATGTGGCCTTACAAACACATCAGAAAAGATTACGAGTTGTTATCTCTACCACTTAAATGTCTCTAAAATCTCCCAGATGGTCAATCCGCTCCTGCACAGCCTAGGCAGGCTTGCACAAGGTCACCGTGGCACTGTCAGCGCATCACACACAACACGTTTACATCACAAGGCTGATGCCGTGAGTGCAATCTCTCTATTGCAGCTTGAGCTATTTCCCCGTTCACATAACCTCTCACCATCCCAAAAATCCCGACACACAAGTCTGGAGAGGAGGATGTGCCCATATGCACACATGTTTCCAGTCACCTCATATTTAAATTCAAAGGACTGTCCACTGCGTTGTTGGGTCTCTGCTTTTCCTGTGCAAACTATTCCAGTTTATGAATACCATTTGTTAGAGCACAGGATGGAATTCAACCAGTAAATAATTGTTATTCAGTCCTTGGTCTTCACAGGGTGAAACAACTGCTGGGAACCAGGAAAACCAGACTTAGGGGTCTAAATATTGCCTGAGGTTTAAGGCTGAGGATCCTGAGCCAAAAGAGGCCCAGTAAGGTAAGTGCCAAGACCTGGACCTTTCGTCTGCTTTTAACTCTTATTGCTTTGTGCATTTCCCTGTTCTGGCGATGTCTGGGGATTTTGACTTTGGTTGGCAGCTCAATTTGTGCATAGCTTTGGGGAGCACGTGCACACCCCAGGGTAAGTAGCAGAGCTCAGGGGTAGCACTGCAGCGTTCAGCATCATAGCACTTGGGATCTCTGACGATCTATCCTCAGTGCTTTTAATTGTTCATCATTTAGATCTTGTTCACTATTACTGATATTTTAGGGTGAGTTGTAAGTTGGTGTAAAAGGCTGAAATCAGAGAAAATTTGAATTTCTCGAATGGCTCTCTGCAGGCTGCCTGTCTGATCGAGGAGACAAAGAGCCGTGTGTACTACTGTAGAAGAAAACCAAAGAAAGAGCTATTGGGTAATTTATTACAGGTTTAAGACATAGATTCCAGTTTCTTCCACAAAAAACCTTTGGAACTGCATGAATATCAGTGGGATTGTGGCCTTGATCCCTTCTAACACCTCTTAATTTAAACATATGATATAGAATAGGATGTCTATTATTTTAAAATAATCCAGAACATCTCTCCCTCTGTTTTATTGCTATACCAGCACAGATACACCTATTTAAAAAAAATCTTCCTGTAGTTTCTACATAAAATGGTAAGCATTGTAGCCACAGCAGTGCTTCGCAGGTATACATATAGCATTTGAATCTTAAAAACTCTTTGGGGGCCAATTTTTTAGTGGATTATAATACTCAGTAATGTCGTGTTTCTGCCTGTAAGAAAAGCTTAAAAGCGTAAGTCGTATCAATATTCTCTTTGTTGAGACTCTACACCTTCAGGTGATACTCAGGTCATGCTAACAGTTCCCTATGCAAGCCATGAAAAAAAAAATTGATCATCTGAATACCAACCTGAAAAGACAGGCAGAGGTGAGAACATAATAATGGAGTTGTCCAAAAGGGGCAGAACTGTCAGGAAAGCATGTGCTCACCCTTCCAATGCTTGTCTGCTGAGAAGAATTCCTACGTCCATACATAAGAGAATGGCATTTTTTGACTGTGAGAAAAAATTCCAGGAGTTAAGTGTTAATTCTTTACTTCTGAATAAGCCTTTTTAGCCACCAACGTGCTTGCAACAAACGTGAGTAGAGCCCTTCCCAAATCTTCATTTGCGAAGCCTAGCCATGATGATGATGATGATGAATAAGCACATGGCAGTTCTTAATGTTACTAGAGGCTACATTGTATATTTTCACAATAGAAAACACTATAGAGAGGATCAATACTTCTTATTATTCATATTAATTAAGTTTTCTATCAAGATTAATCTTTAACATTCTCTCCAACAAGTCAAGATAAGGACATAGGTCAAGTACCAGGAAGCTCAACTTACAGAAACAGCTCCTTCCATTGCCTGCTGGAGTTCCAGGCAGGTCTGTTTTTTCTGTCCAAGTCATCAGCTGACTTATAGTTGCATTTCTTTACAGCTCCATTACTACAATAATAATGGAAGCACCAAATATCTTAAACTAAACACCACTCGCAGACAGTCAGACAGAGATAAACTTTAATAAAACTGTTTGGGAGAACAGTCTGCTCACTGATAAAGGATAACTCAGCACACACCCAGACATTTCCATAGTGTAAACATTATGATGAAAAGCCTGTACTGTTCTCATTGACTAGTGGTTGCAAATTTCAGACTCTGAAGGGGTCTGGTCTGTGCCTCTGCAAGTCTGCTCCGAAGAGCAGCTGGTGCAATCCTGGCTGCAATCATGGAAACTTCTGGGTCTGAAGGGGCATCTGGAGCACATCTGGTTGAAGCAGGTCTGCTTAGATTGGGTTATTCAAAGACTTGTACACGTGGTAGAATGGGAAAATTAATTCAGTGCAGTTTTAAGTTAAATTCACTGTGCCTCCAGTGAATCATCACATGCAAGGAGAGAGCTAAGGCTTAGGAGGAACATTTGCTCATTGATGAGTGGCTGTGAATTAATCAGTGGTAGAAAAATCACTTGGCAGCCTCATGAATCCTCAATGAATAGAAAGGCATTTTGCAGAACTGAAAAGCTAACTTTCCTTAAATCCTGTGCTAATAAATGGTTATTAGGATGTGAAATACAGTGCTCCATTCAGACAGGATTCTTCAAATGAAGGGAACAATCTCTGTTTTTCTACACCATTCATCAAGTGCACTACCACAGGTCTGTCCTTCCAGTTT